AGTTAGCAGGGGATGTGCCCCATGCTGAGTAGCTGTTCAATGAACTTCATCACTCTGTTCTGTCATTTCCTGACACTCTCGCTTTAATGAATTCCTTCCTCACATTGTACTCTGACTTCCCTGCATCTCTGAACCAAATTCCTCCCAACAACTTTAAACTTTTCAACGTTTCAGGGCGCTCCTCTCTGAGGACACCTGCACTTTGTCTCTAAGTGCATAACTTTAAATAAAAGTTTTACTCTGTTTTACTACTGTGTCTCTGCCCTTTAATTCTTTGTTGTGATATGGATAAGAACTGAGGAAAATAAACAACCACCCCCTAACAGTTCCTCTATCTAATTCTTTTTATGCAGTTGGCTAGTGAGAAGTCAAAGTTTCTTTCTAAGTCTTTTGGAGCTTGATCTCAACTTTGAAATAATTTGCATGTTACAATGGCACAGCTTGGGGAGGCCTGCCCTTGGTCCCTAGAATAGCTTCATAAAACTTTTAGGTTTCAAGTTGCCAAAAAGATTTACAAGTTATTTAGATATGTATACCATAATCATTGCTAAAAAGTGCACTGTCCTATTTAGTTTACTCATTCTCGACAACCATGCCTAGATTACCCACAAGAACTTCACTGGACATCAGACAAAGTCAGCCATTCTCCCAAGCCTTTTTTTCTTGAAAGATTTAACAGATAACAACAACTTATTTAGCTTTAAGCAAACCCAAGCAGAATAAAATGTTTTGATTCTAAGGCTGATAAACTTTAAGACATACCTGTTTTAATTAAACCAAACAAATTAGTATTAATACTGAAAAACACTTGGGTTTGTTTCTATCAGAATTTCATTTCTGAAAGTTTTGGAATGGCCAGTTCTTTCAAGCACTTGTATTTAAACCAATTAACTTTAGCAATACCATCCAGAGGTAGAAACAAAAAGTATCTCCCATTTATAACACAGGAACACATACAAGCAGATGCAAAGATTTCATAGTTATTAATATTTGTGGAAATTTTATTTGCCTAATTTCTAAATACTTCCTTTCTCTCACTTTTAAAAATAGAGTATTTCCCCTAAAGTGTGCATGTCAAAGAATCACTCTTCTGTCCAAGAAAAGAAGTTTTATGTGAGTCTTTTGGGCCTTGATTGTTTTCAATTCTGAAATAATCTACATGTCACAATGACACATCTTATGGCATCCTACACCATAACAAAAAAAAAGGTATGTCAGTGTGGAAATCAAAGAGGAAGTAAAAAAATACCTGAAGACAAATCAAGTGTAATGGTTCAAAATCTCTGAGATGCAGCAAAGGCAAGTCTAAGAGGGCATCTTTTAGCAGTGCAGGCCTTACATTAATATGAGAAACAACAAAAATCTCAAACTTCCTAACCTTACATCTAGATAAAGAATAACAAACCCCAAAGTCAGAAAGAAGGAAATAAAAACAACATAAAGATCAGGGAAACTAAGATCTGGTTCCTTGAAAAGTTAAACTTGACAAACATTTAGCCAGACTCATCAAGAAGAAAAAGAGGACTCAAATAAACAAAATCAGAAATGAAAGAGGGAAGTTGCAACTAACACAAAGGATAAGAGTCTATTATGAAAAATTATACACTAACAAATCAGGCAATCTAGAAGAAATGGATAAAGTCCTAGAAACCTATCATTTTCCAAGATTGAATCAAGAAGAAATATAAAAATCTGACCAGACTATTACTAATAATGAAATCAAATTGATAATGAAAAACTCCCTAAAACAATTCCAGGACCAGATGGTTTCACAGGTGAATTCTACCAAACATTTAAATAAGAATTTGGAGCAGTCTTTCTCAAACTATTTCAAACTCTTCCAAAAATAAAGGAAGAAGGAAATTTCCAAATTCATTCTATGAGTCCAGCATATTACTGTGACAACAAAACCAATACAAAAATAATTGCAGACAAATATTCATGATAAACATAGATGCAAAAATCTTCAACCAGACCAAATTAAAAAATATGTTAAAGGGATAATTCATCATGATCAAGTAAGATTTATTTCAGGGATGTCAGCATGGTTCAATAGCTGCAGATCAAAGAATGTGATATATCACTTTAACAAAATGAGAGCTAAAAATCATATGATCATCTCAGTAGATGCAGAAAAAGCATTTGACAAAATTCAGCAGCAATTCATGATGAAAGTCTCCAAGTGGTATAGAAGGAACACGCCTCAACATAACAGAAGCCCCAAAGCTAATGCTGTATAGTCAATGATGATTTAAGATCAGGAACAATACAAGGATGCCCACTTTCACTATTTCTGCTCAACATAGTACTGGAAGTCCTAGCCACAGCAGTCAGACAAGAAATAAAACTGTCACTATTTGCAGATGACAGGATGCTATGCATAGAAAACCCTAAAGAGTCCACCAAAAACTATCAGAACTAATAAATAAATTCAGTAATGTTTAGGTATACAAATCAATATGTAGAAGTTGGTCACATTTCTGTATGCTAATAATAAGCTATCAGAGAAATTAACAAAACAATCTCATTTACAATTGCATTGAAAAGAATAATATACCTAGGGATAAATCTAACCAAGGAGGTGAAAGACCTGTACTCTGAGAACTAAGGGCATTGAGGCAAGAACCTGAAAATGATACAAATAAATGGGAAGACACACCATGCTTATGCATTCAAAGAATATTGTTAAAATGTCAATACTACCTAATGCAATCTATAAATTTAATGCAATCCCTATCAAAATACCAATAGTATTTTTCACAGAACTAGAATAAAGAATCCTAAAATTGGTATGGAACCACAAATAGCCAAAGCAATATGAAGAAAGAACAACAAAGCTGGACCTGTCATGTTCCTGGATTTCAAATATCACAAAGCTGTAATAATGAAACCAGTATGTTACTGGCACATAAACAGACACATAGATCAATGGAACAGAATAGAGAGCCCAGAAATAAACCCATGGTTATATGATCAGTTAATCTATGACAAGGAAGCAAGATACAATGGACTATATACAAGAGACTGTATTGAAGACAATCTCTTCAATAAATGGTGCTGGAAAAACAACTTTCTTCTACCATATACAAAACTCAAAATGGATTAAAAACCTAAACATAAGACCTAAAAATAAAAACATAGGCAGTAAACTCTCAGACATGAGCCTTAGTAACATGGGAAACAGAAGAAAAGAAACTTTTGTGCAGTGAAGGAAACTAATGCAGTGAAAAGGCAACTTACTGAATGGGAGAATATTATTTGCAAACGATATGTCTGATAAGGATCTAATATCCAAAACATGTAATGAACTCATATAACTCAATAGCAAAAAGCCAAATAATGTGATTAAATAAAGGGCGGAGGCCTGAATAAATATTTTTTCAAAGACAACATACAGGTGGCCAACAGATACATGAAGAGATGCTCAACATCACTAATCATCAGAGAAATGCAAATTAAAAACACTATGAAATAGTGCCTCACACCAACGAGACTATCTGGCATCAAAAATACAAGAAATGGCAAATGTTGGTGACAATGTGGAAGAAAGGGAAACCTTGTACAATGTTGGTGGAAATTTAAATTGGCCTCTGGAAAACAGCATGGGGGTTCCTCAAAAAAAAAAAAAAACTTTTGTTCCATTAGTTCCATTTCTGTGCATTTACCAAAGAAAGAGGAAACACTAATTTGAAAAGAAATATCCACCCCTATGTTTATTGCAGCATTATTTATAATAACCAAAATATGGAAGCAGCCTAGTGTCTATCTGTAAATGAATGGATAAGGAAGATGTGGTATGTATACACAATGGAACATTACTCAGCCAAAAAGAGAATAAAATCTTGCCATTTGCAACAATATGGATGAACCCAGAGAGTATTATGCTAAATGAAAGAAGTCAGAAAAACACATACCATATGATTTCACTTATATGTGGAATCTTAAACAACAAAACAAGTGTCCAAACAGACTCCTAATACAGAGAACAAACTAGTGGTTGCCAGAGGGGATGTGAGTATGGGTGAAATAGGTGAAGGGGATTAAGAGGTATAAACTTTCAGTTACAAATAAGTCACAGGGATAAAAGTAGAGCATAGGGGATATAGTCAGTAATATTGTAATAACTTTGTATGGTGACCAATGGTAACTACAATTTACTATGGTGAACATTTTGTAGTGCACAATTGTCAAATAAATGTTATACACCTGAAATCAATGTCTTATATGTCAACAAAAAATTTTTAAAAGGGCATATGTAGTTGTCATTTTGATAAAGCCAAATTGCTTTCTTGGAAGTTTACAGTCTACCCACAGGTACTGAGAATGCCTATTTCCTCAAATTCTAAGTCTGTGACTCCCCAGTCTGTAAAAAAACAGCAATTCATTATGGCTCCAGTTTGCATTTATATTATGAACAGGACTAAGCTTTTTCTTACGTTTAAGAGATGTTTGTATTTTCTTTCCGGTCAACTTCCAGATTTTTGTGCATTTTTTTGTTTGGGGTTTTGGTCTTTTACTTAGTGATTACAGGTGGTGTTTCATTTTTGGTAGGAGTAACAATACAGAACACTTTTTTCCCCCTTTCGCAAGCCAGTAAGAAACACCTCAGTTTTCAAAAGGGACCCCCACATGCTACCGACCATGAGCGGAGAGTTTCCAGAGGGAAAATGTCCCATCCTCGATGCAGGCGAAGCCCTTTCAGTGGAAACCCTGCAGTGGTCCTCCACGGAGCTAAGCTCTCTTCCAACTCCGTGATCCTCAGGCTTGAGCTTTATTGGAAAATGTTGTAGGCACAGATTAGAATTTAACAGGCAAAACTCCCAAGAGCAGAAAGACTCACCAGCCCCAACTGGGAAGCAATGGTACACAAGTTGAAAAGCTTGCAAAAAGACAAACCATGGTATATCTTAGTAAGACTAAATTCTCCAAGCTACCCAAATATAGAAAGCAAAAGAGAGGCTCTCTTTTATCCGAGGCCAGGGCGTGGCCCACAAGGTGAAGCCAAAGGAGGGGTCATGAGCATTGTCATCCTGGGGTCGGGGACATTGGTCATGTCAGGGTCTGTGCTGGGCAGCATCGGGCAGGCACCCCTTCGGGGGAGGTTTTCTGCGGCTCACCTACCTTTCCCTGGTGTTTTTCCCCAGCTCATGTGCTCCTCAGTGCAGAAGGCCTTGTTTGAGGAGGAGGACCATGTCAAGAAACTGCAGCAGAAGGTGGCCACTCTGGAAAAGCGGAACAAACAGCTCCGGGACCGGGTGAAGAAAGTCAAGAGGTCTTTGCGGCAGGCACGGAAGAACGGCCGCCACCTGGAGCTGGTGAACCAGAAGCTCAGCGAGAAACTGGCAGCCGCAGCCGGTGCCATCCCACACATCAACGCCCTGGGGCAGGAGCCTGCAGGGGCCACCTACCTGCGGGGGTAGCAGGGACTGGGCAGTGGCCTCACCCAACCTGTTGGGGCACGTTGCCTCTTGCCAGGGAGTGAAAGTGATGCTGGGTTTGGTTGTGCGTGTATTTCAAGAAATCTTGTACATTCTATTTTTATTCTGCATTTGGTAGTATGTAGTTGATTTAAAGGGCAAGTCTTGCTATCTCCTTGTTTGCCTCCCTCCTGCCCCTTGTTGGTGCTTGGAAATCTGGAGGCAGTAGGATTCTGGAGTGCCATTTGCTTGCCTGGGGCCTGACCTCAGCTTCCAGAACAGCCTGGAAAATGCACTTAGTGGGGAAGGACATTTTAGAATCTCTAGATGTACAACACAAGAGGTTCAGCCTTTGTTTCAAGAAGAGAGGCAGTGTACCCTCAGCTCTGAGCTCCGGGACAACCATTAGTTTTGAGGAATGATCTCAAGCAAGTCATGGAATTTTCTGGTGTCTCATTTTCCAGCTCTTTGGAAGGAGGATGGCAGCCTTGCAAAGCACCCATGAATGCCTGTAAGCAAACATGTGCAGGGCATTCCTACTCCAGCCAGCCTTTCTTCACAGCTGAGGCATATTAGGACATAATGAGCTCATCACAGGTAAGAGAATTGAGTGGGGCGGCAGAAGGTTAAACAAGATGAATTATACTAGATTTCCAACATCAGCGAGAGAATGCCCATGGGTCACTTTAATATAAAAGGGAATTGCCTTTATGGGCCCATCATATTTCATCAAGCCACATTCATAAACTGGAAGAGCCTGAGCAATATCTCAGCCACTGCTAAATTCTAACTTCTCCAAATTCTAGGTGAGACGGCCCACTGTGATGTGAACTTCTGTTCTATAAAGACACCTCGTTACCTGTTGAGATCAGGTAACCTGCCCTCCTTACTATCCAGGCTCCCAAAAGGCTTGTCCCAGGAAGCTCCAGGTAGTTTCACTGTAAACATCTTTGCCTCAGACATTTTCAGGACAAGGCAATTTTACTGTAAAAGATGAAACCACACTGTCAGCCAGTATTTTATTTCTTCATTGACAAACTTCCCATTTTTATATTACATTAATCTTAGCCTTCATGATGGGGTATATATACAGTGATGAGTAGACATGGTGGTCTTAAAATAGTGAATGACAGCAACTATGTCTATTGACTTGACAGAAAATATGGTGATAAAACTTACTGGAAGTGTGAACTCAGAGAGTGGAAAGCCCGACTGCAAACTGTACTACATGGGAACACCATAACTTACCAGTCACAGTGATAACAAAGCTCAGTTGCAAATGCATTACAGCATTAGCATGTCTTCCACATTTCCCATAGAACTCTGGCACCTCTGTCAATGGGCATGTGACTGTATTCCAAGAATGGATGACTGTGTAGAAGGCTTCCCCAGTGCAACACAAAGCTCAGTTACAAATATGCATCTTAGTGTTTGGAAAATGGGTATCACTCTTAAAATAAAAAAGTAAAAGAGGGACTTAAAAAATGAGATAATAAAACATGAAAAAAATTAAGATTATTTTCTTTCTTTTCTTTTATGGCAACGTAGACTTACAGCCAATTAATTATGTGGCAAAGATGCTTATGGTGAAAATACCAGACATGGTTCTGCTACCATCAGACATGGCTCCAGGCATTCTAATCTCTGCAGCCTTATGCAGACACTTTCCACCCACCAGGACTGTCCACACCCTGGGAGTAATGTTTCCACATCGGTCCACTTGTCATTGTGTCAGGTCCCATATGTGATCAGGGCACTTCACCCTCTTTAGAAAGAGGCCTTTAAAGGTAGTACTTCAGGTAAAAACCAGTGATCATTTCACCATACCCAACACTTGAGCCCTTGACTTAGGCACCTTCAATCAAGTCCCAGTTGTGTTATTAAAAAGTTAGCTAAGTGGCTGTCTCTTGGTTTTCTTCTGATGATGGGCCTCCAAACCAACAAGTTTGCCTTCCCTGCTGTCCCAGGGTGTCTGGGCCCAGCTATGCTGTCCTTCCTATCGAGCATGGCAGTTACACTGTCAGATTTCCATTCTATTGTTTTTAGGAAAACCATGTCCTTGCTCTGGCAGCCAGTCTGGGGGATAGATCTTGTGTCACTTGAGTCTTGGCGGCAGGGCTGGATAGAATGGGAGCTGTTACTCAGGGGCACATCTCTTCCCAGCTTCTGCCACCCCTTTATTGGCTGTATTCTTCATAGTAAGGGACAACAGAAGGGGTATCCTCTAGTTTATTCTTCCTGGAGGCAATTAAAGGAGTTTTGTTTCCACCCAAGGGAATGACAAGCCTAAGGGCGATTTACAACCAGTGCTTAGAGGACTGTGGAAGCCGTATCCCTACAGATGCATTATGTCCTGCCTTTTCAATAAATAGGAGCAGTATTTCAGCCACAATAATAAGGCTATGTGTGTTCCTTTGGGGTCAGAGAGATCTCAGGATTTCCAGCTTTGGCCTGGAAAAGCCATTTAGAACCTCTTGGGGATCATCTGTAATTCCTGGGGCATTTAGGAGACTGAGCCCAAGCCTTCTCTTCCATCCCCCTTGGATGTGGCCAAAACCTGTCTCTCCCAGGATGCCCATCTCTCAGCACACCTGCAGAAAAGCAGTGTCTTCCTGGTTGTTCCACGCAGGGGACAAGCCGTTCATTAATCAACGTCTTCACAAACACACTTGCATCTCTTGCCACATGGAGTGCCCAGGTCTCTGTTACCTGCTGCATGGCTATCTTACTGTGGCCCTTGCCACTTGTTCATTATACTAGTAGGAATTTTTTATGCAAGAAAAATCTGTGAATTGTCAGAACTTGACACACTTGAGCCAATCTGTTGTAGCACCATCTCTGAGACGCTGGCCCTCGTTCAGTTCTGCTGGCCCACTGACTTTTCCAAAGTTGCAAATAAGCAAGAAACAGATAAATAGTATCTAGAATCTTTACATTACAGCTCCCTGAGGCACAAGCTGTTAGTATGTGTGGGGAGGTTTCCGGGGCCTGCACAGTGTGTCTTAAGGTGAAGCCTTTGCTAGACTCCAGCTTGAGCCACTATCTTACTGCTATTGCTACCTCACCCCCTTTTCAAACACCAGGCTGCGTCCCACACTTTTGGTACCTTCCTGGCAGAAGTTCACAGAGGTTCTCACTTCGGTGGTGCAAGGCCCTACCTTTCTTTGGGGAGAGAACACAAACTCATATCACAGTGACTTTGAATCAAATTGTTGGCTCAGCAACAGTCCATACTCTATGATGATTTAAAAAAAATCAAATACCCAGTATGTATTAGGCTCTTTAATCCATGTTATCTCATCTGATCTTCCTAATAATCTTATAAAGTAGAGGTCCTTATCCATGTTCCACAAGAGGAATCTAAGGCTTCAAGAGATTAAATTGTCCAATGAACACAACTAGGATAGCTGACCATTCAAGAATTTTACTCCATCTGCCTTTCTGTACTTCCTCATCTGTAAAATGGGGATAATCATCCTACCTCCAAGGCTGTACAGAGGCTTGAATAAAATTATTCATATAAATGCTTAGCACCATGCCAGACATTCCACAAGCAAGCCTTAATAGATATTACTTAATGGTTTTTGTTTCTAATATTCACCAGAAAGCCCCAATGAATGCCAGAAATAAGAGTATTTGGTGGGATTCCAGGTCATTTTCTGTCAATCTTAAACTCTAGCCCCCTTCCAGTGGCCACGCAATAGCTCCAGCTCTTTTTCACTTTCCTCACTTCTGAGACACCTTTTCTTTCACACGCAGTAGTTAGTTGTTCCTCCAAATTTACCAAGAAAATACAATCCCTCAGAAATGTGTTGTCTCAGCTTCCCAGCACATCGCTCACGTGGTCTAGTTTCTCCCATCCTTCTCTCCTCCCTCCCATCTCAAAGGGAGTCACATCCCTCCCACTCCATCCAGGGCTAAGCCCTTTCCCTGTTACCTTGAGTTTATATTGGTCCTCTTGAAACCTGGCTCCACCAGTGTGCCCTCTTTTATCATGAATCTTCTCTCTGGCTTCTCCTCCCCTTATCCTCAGATCTCCCCATCCGAAGAAAACACTGACAATGTAGTTTACAAAGTACTGAAGCAATTGTTAGAGATGGTGAGACAGAAGGCTCCTGAACTTGCCTCCTTCCACAGACACACCAAGTGAACAGGTACACCTGGAGCATTTCCCTCTGAAAGAAATCCAGGAACTAGCCGAGTGACTAACACAGTGGGGGTGTAAGAAAATATTCACTTGGAAATGATCAGGAAAGGCTGAGACACTCTCTTGCCATGAACCCCACTTATAGCATAGCACCATACAATCAGGAGGGAATCCCCAAATCATCAAGCTTCTTGATGAATGAAGGGTTTGGGTCCCACATCTACAACCCCAACTTTGAAGACTCACGTTGAGAGATAAGCCCTCAAAACACCCATCTCTGAAAGTCAATGGGATTTATATCCACAAGACCCACAGGAGCATAGCAAACAAAGGGAAGCAGTTATTAACAGGCACAAGCTTTGACTTCAGCTATCACCTCAGGGTTAGTGCAGAGGGAGCAGGCAAAAGATACCCATCTATTGGTCTTTATTTGGATACTTTAAAGCTGTTGCTTGGAATGAGGGTTCAAGATATTGGTGTAGTAATACCTTGTGCTCACCCCTCAACACCCAGCAAATCTATAACCACATAGGGAATAATTCCCTCTGAGAGGTCCTAGAAACTGGATGAACAGAGATTTCACAGCAAGGGACAGAACTGAAATGGATAGAGCAGCAGGGATACAGTCTCACTAAGGAGGAAACCATACCCCAGGCATAGTGTGCCATGGTTGGGAGAGATCTCAAAGGTACAGAACTTTTCCCTGAGGAACAAGATTTTGGAGCTCCACATCAGGTACCCCAGTCTTTATTTCTTTCCTGAGGAACTTTCTTTCTTTCCCTGAGAAACAAGATACTGGAGCTCTACCCCAGTACCCTAGATCCTGCACAGGAGAGATGAGCCCCCCAAACATCTGTCTTTGAAAACCAACAGAGAATACATCCAGGAAAACTACAGAAAAGGAAGGAAAGGAAAACCCACTCATAAAAGGCTTATGGGTAGACTCATTCAACCTGGAAACCAGCACAAAAGCATCAGATAGAAAAGCACATAGATCTTAGGTGAAGGTCAGCCATTTACTACTCTTGGAGCACTTGCTAGGGAGACAGGGAGCAGCTAGGACCCTCTCTAGGAAATGAGATACTGGCAGCAGCCACCTTTGCTGTCTCATTCTTCTGTGCTGATCCTGGCACTGGTGGGCACCATTTTGCACTCTTCCCTCTATACTTCTAGTGCCAGGGCTGCACCCCACTGTGCATCCACACAACCCTGTACCTCAAAGCCAACAAGCTGGTAACTGCACACACTAGTCTGCCTGTAGAAGTCAAAGCCTGGCCTCACAACCAGTTAGGCTAGGGGCCAGCCCTGCCCACCAATGCACCTGCATAGTTATGGCCACCACAACAGGAGGATGCATGCGGTCTCCCCGCGGGGGACACTCCTGGAGCACCTGGCTCTCGTAAACTGGGGGCTTCTGCTTCTGGCTTTCAAAGAACACCTCCTGAATAAGGCTTCTCCTTCAAGATCAGGAGATGTAGCCGAACTACCTAATATATAGAAATGAACACAGAAAAATGAGATAAATATGTTCCAAGCAAAAGAACAAGATAAAACTTCAGAAAAAGAATTAGGTGAAACAGAGATAACAACCTACCCAATAAAGAGTTCAAAGTAATGGTCATAAAGATTGCTTGCTGGACTCAGGAGGAGACTTGATGAACACAGTTAGAATTTCAACAAAGATAGAAAATATGAGAAAGTACCAATCAGCTTCCTTATACAACAACAGAAATGAAAAGTACAGTAGAGGGAATCAATAGACTAGATGATACAGAAGAACAGATGACTAATGTAGAAGACAACAGTGAAAAGCACCCAAATTGAACAGCAGAATGAAAAAATAATTTTTTAAATTAGGACAGTTGAAAGGATATCTGGGGAAACTTCAAGCATACTAACATTTATATTATAGGGGTTCCAGAAGGCAGAAGACTTATTTGAAGAAATAATAGCTGAAAACTTCCCTAACCTAGGGAAGGAAGAAGACATCAGGTTCAAGAATCACAGAAAGTCCCAAATAAGATGAACCCAAAGAGGTCGAAACCAATTTTGATACACATTATAACTAAAATATTAAAAATGAAAGATAAAGACAGAATCTTAAAAGCAGCAAGAGAAAAGCAATTAGTTACATATATGTGAACCCCCTAAGACTGTCAGTTGATTTTTTCCATCAGAAACTTTACAGGCAGGAAGGGAGAGGCAATGATATATTCAAAGTGTTGAAAGGGAAAAGCTTATAACCAAAATAATCTATGTGTTACAATTATCACTAAGAGTTATTATAGGGAATGCTTTAAGCAGAAAGGCCATAAAGAAGTTTAAAAACATTTTTAAAAATCTTGCTGGTAAAGGCAAACATATAT